TTGGGTTTGTAATCAAAGTAGAAGGACGTAGAAATTAAAATTGCTTGTTCTTTTCCGATATATCGATTTCATTGCACGCATATTACTATGACAGTAACATGGATTTCCTCCAGCTTTGATTAATTTTAAATCTACTTTAAATTTCTAGGCGTGAGTAAAGGTGCTGCCATATGAGTACACAAGTCATCATGCCAGTAGACAAAACGCCGTTGTTTCGTGCTCGAGTGAAAATGATGCGAACACAGGAAGCAGCGCGATTAAAACGAGCTCAGATGCAAAAGCAACAACGACAACAGCAACAAACAGAAATTCCTCTTAACAGCTTCGACGGCGAGTAATTCATCTAGGTTTCAGGTTCCCGAATTTTTCTGAGTACCGATTTGAAGTGTTCCAGTGTTTCAGTTGGTACTTTGCATTTATTATTTTCTAAATTATGCTAATAATTGAATTCGTCGAAAATCATCAACGGGCCAGTTTGAAATTTTTTGTGGCCTTATTTTTGTAAATTTATTATCATTATGTTTAGGGTAAGATTGTTTTGTCGCTTCAGAAAAATTGGAGAAAACATTTCCTCGTAAGCCTTCAAGTCTCAATTTTTTGTCATGTACAGTTGAAGCTCAAAGAATTCGCCGGGAATTAGTCGCTCTTCGAAATATGGTCATCAGTGGAAGGAAAAATTATATTTCCGATATTGGTCATTCAAGACGATTATTAGCGTCGTACACAGATAGTGAGCTCATTTTTGCCAGATGTGCCCATAGCATTTCATGATAGAATCACTTCTAGTGTGATTTTATTCAGATTTAGCAAGATTTTGTTCATTGATCTGACTGTGAATTCAACTACCTTTAGCTACAGAATAATCTGTATAATTAGCAAATGGAACAAACAGCCTACGTGTTGGCATCATGTATTCTTTTCAGGAAAGGTCAAGCGTCCTTGTAGTACCACCAAGAGAATAATTTCCGTAATGCCATCTTCGCCTGTGTACGAAATTAATCATTCAATTTGTAGGTATGAATGATTTTGAACGGAACGAATTGGATGCAAAAATTGAGGGAATGATGCAAGATTGCATGCAATCTATACAAGCATTTCAACGTAAAATCAGCAGTAGCAATTTACGAGCTGTTGATGAAGGTCCACATTTGTTCGAGGTGTATATTTTGGATTGCTTTCAATAAAACGGAGGCCATTTGGTCATGAAAACTCCATAAGTCCCAACGTCCATGAAGTTTCCCTACTTTAATATTAACCAGCTGAATCATTATTATTCTCCAGTCGTTCATTACTAGAAATCCGCTTCGCTTCCGGCTGTAACCCATCATTTCTTTTTCTGTAGCATATCAAAGATTTCTAAGTGTAATATGGTAGTTCGAATTTTCAATTTCAGCATTTTGTCAAAAAAATGTGGTATATTATGTCTGTTATTATATAAATAGACGATTTTAGGTTTTGCGAATGCTTGGCAAACATTTCAATGGAACGGCTAAAACTGTTGCTGAAATGCGAGCTTTGCGAACGAAAAAGATAAGTAATATGCGGCGAACATGCAGGTGTCGTGCATTTTCTACTGATTCCTTGGTTTGCAGAGATATTGAGTATGCTGGTAATGATGTTCCTACTCACCGGAAATAGTCATATTCCCATGTTATAACTTTCAAAATATTATGTACTTCGCTTACCCGATGATATAATTAGTGATTTAGGTGCTTCCTTTCATATTTTTCTTTTAACATCCTGTCCATAAGAGCAGATATGTGTTTGAAAGGTTTGAGAATTATATCTTGCAAAACTTGACACGGGCGATATTTTTGACATCCACATAGCACTTGAACGCACAAGTCAGAGTTCGTAAAAGCTCTGACGGATATGGATCGGATTTTAAAATTATTGGATCTCACTGTACAGTGCTATATTATTTTTGTATGCGCAGATGTATTATTCATAACTTTTAATTATTCGTTTCTAGACTGGCTACATTGGCACAATTATACAGCATGAAACGAAGGAATGAAGTGCTGATGCAACGATTGGCTAACGAAAATTCGGTTGAAACTATATCACTGAAATCTGATATTTCGTCAGTTTCAGATTCTGTATTAAGTGATGCCATCATTTTTGGCAAAGACGGTTTGAGGAAGAGGGTTTCGCAGAGTACGGGTTCGTTTCATTCTTTTTATTATTCACTATAACAACCATTCTAACCGAATAGCGTAACCTGACAATATATGTGAATTAGTTTATGTTAGTTTAATTTTAAATTGGATCTACTGTACGATCATTCCAACTCAATTGTTTATTTCACTCTCATTTGCCATAGAACTGTTCCAGGTATGAAGGAAGATGGAAGAAGAAAGTTAAAACAGAATGGATGGTCTGATGTGCAAGTGTTCGATTTCCAAGAAGTTGAACAAGCGGATGATGATATGGATTCACTTAGTAATTTAGATGACGATGAACGTACTCAGCTTATGATTGAAAATGAGCGATTATATTCTCAGTCGCTTCAAGTGGATAGCGATATTCAAAAGGTGGAAAAACAGATGGCAGAGCTACATCAGTTGCAAGCAACATTTGCCGAAAAGGTAGAAGATTAAGTGTACCTTTCTTTTCTTTTCATGTCTTTTTTGTAGTTGCTGACTTAGTTTAATTCTAGGTTTCGGAACAGGAGAGAGATATAAATGTTGTAAACGAAACAACGTTGCTAACGGTTGAGAATATTCGAATTGGAAACGAACAGATACGTCAAGCAATCCAGAATATGGCATCTAGACGTGTAATTCTTTTGTTTTGTATTATTGTTCTCACGTTCACATTACTTTTCTTAGATTGGTATAATCCCTAGGAATAGAAATTCATTTTTTGACTAAGATGTTTCTTTTGTATGCCTTGTGTTTTCTTTTTGGAGTTTTTGATTTCAATTTTCACTATATTTCTAACTCAGTCCTCGATTAAGTCAATTGTTTTCTTTTCGTCATGAAAAAGGGGTTGTTTGGTAACAGAAACGATAAGAAATTGAAAGAAATTGCCACTTCACTTCCCACTGCTCTGATCGCACTCGGATTAAGAATTTTTTAGGGTAGCCGTCCTAATTTGCTGTAAATACTTTTTGACAAGAGCCGAAATTTGTAGTTTCAGGAAGTATCTCTACAAAAAATTAATGTTTGTTTTATTCCTGAAACTGCCGAATTTCCTACTCTTTATGGACAACCTTTCCTGTTCTTTTGGACAACTCGAAAGTGTCGAAAATTATTTCTTTGAACAGATTTCGTCAATAAACTATAAATGTAATAAAGGATGATAGAGAAACAATAGTGATGTAATTATAGGTTTGAGAATTCAAGCATCGAACTGTATAACTGATATCAATGTTATATTTAATCAACTTAAAATATGGCGGATAGGGCTGTACAAATATTAATATTTCTTTTCTGTGATTGATGATAAAGTGTAAAATTGTTGTGGAAATGTGTTAAGTCTGGTCAACACCCTCAGGCATATTGTAAAAAAGCATCAGTACTTTATCCTTCATTTGACCAGGAAAAGGTTTTGGTTGGTTACTGATGTGCAGAAACTTTGGTTATTGTACTGGATGCAACATCGCCATATACACAGTAATTTTATGTCCAAAACATTTCGATCTTGTTTGATTAAAAGTTAAGCTGGCTGAAATATCAGAAGAATAGCGTGATTGTAAACATCCAATGTGGTGAGTGAAGATTAAGTGGGAAACTACGTGATGAACGTAAGATAGATTTAAGAAATAGTAAAAACAATGGGAAAAAATGAAAGCATCGAAGTATACCTATATGAAGCAAGCTGAAGTGACTAAGGAAGTCTATAATAGATGGTCAGATTGATTGGACGAGATTTACTCAATTCATGATTTCATTGGAAGAGTACTAAATGTTTATTGTACTAATGAGTTCCTAATTCCATTCAATAACTACTGGATAATACGTTCTGTTCTATTTGTATAGAATTCTACACATTCCAAACAATTTATCCGGTTCATCTTTTTAAGATGCATAACCCGTTTAGGTAGCACAAATGTTTCCTCCATATCATTTTTTATCTAGCTTTTATTTGTTTGAGAGATAACAGAGGTACTGATCATATCTATTCATCACTTACATTTTAGATCGTTTAAGGGTCGGAAATGTGCCATTATTATTGCCTCTGATCAGATATATAAATATGTTGCATAGAAAACGAGAGGAGTGCTAGAATCGTTATCAGTTGCATCTATGATATCATACTTTTTTTAAATCTAATGCATTTGTATTCAGTGATGGCTAACTGAAAATGAAATCGTCAAACATAAGGGAATAGTTTGGTCAGACAGAAACAGAATAATGTAAAAATATCAAAAAATGAAATCACAGCGACTGATTGAAAGGAAAGTAACATGGTAATGGAATTGTTTTTGGAGGTGTAAGTGAAACAGTAAATTTTTGTTGTTCATTGTATATGTCATTATTCTTGGCTTCTCATCATTTAGCCTTCTGCCCATTCTAAACTTTAATACTTCATGAAGAGAATTGAGATTACTGAATTAGGTATTGCACAAATATGCAATTCTTTTTTATGTTTTCTAAAGAAAAGAGGACAAAAGTAGTTTCGAAAATTTTTTATCAGAGCTATCTTTTAGGCATTAAAGCACTGTTGCACGTGTTAAATGTAACCAATCGTAGAAATACGAATAAATGCCACATGAAAAAAGAAAAATATTATCAATCGTTTAAATGCCTAATCTTCCTTAAATTTCTTCTACAATATATCAGTCCATTATAACTTATTTCGAGTTGAACATTTTTTTCTTTTAATCTCTTTTTTCTGTCGTTACCATGCGCATTAATTATCATTTTATTTCATGCTAATAGTATTGATACGGATATAGAAATAGCAAAAAATATAGAAATAAGAGATTTCCGGTGTTTGCTGCATATTTTGAATGCTCATCCTTTTATCTTTACCATCATGTCATCGGAAATAAAACAATACACAACGATAGGATATAAACTAAACATGATGTATGCTAGCAAAAGGTTAACTGAATTGACACTGTGCAACACAAAAATTAATTGTGGTAATAGTGCACACATTTTCCATTCGATCGATAATGTATAATAATTGATGAGAACAACAATTTTTGTCATATCCACTTTCATCTTCATCTGAAATAATTGGTATATATAAAGTACCAGGATGATTTTTAATTTAACATTTCGTTTTTTTAGGGGATTCTAATGATCAGTGCAGGTAGTTTGTCATCAGATTATTACATAAAAAAGATCAGTGATATACACATACCTCCAATTAAATATATGAGTATACTGTATACTGTTACCATGTAAACAGAATGCCCATAGATTAATCCTGGATGTCTTCTACTTGGCCTGATTTATTGATCAGTTGATTCTGATTTTGCAGGATGTGATTTTATTGCCATATGTAACAGTTTAAACATTAGTGCTAGTGTCTTATCACTAGTCAATCATTCAAGAAAAGCCGGAAACGTCCTAACTCTTGGATAGAATACAATTGTTCTACCATACAGGACGGGGAATTGCGCTGCGCTCCCTTGCACAGCCGAAGTTTCCGTTTGCAGTTTTCCCAAAAATTTGGAAGCATTGTCCTTCATCGTGGTGTCAGTGGTTTGGGGTGGTTTTATTCGCGGGTTGTTTTCGTGGTGACTTGTATATTCCGGAAACCGAAGTGATCATCAGAACTACTGAAGTGACCACTTAGAGGTTGTGCTACAGTGATCACTTTCTTTCCCTCTTATTTTGTCCCAGTTCGGAGTTGTTTGGGATGACATTGTCCGGATTTTTTTTTTCGATATTTACATTTTTGAGTCGGAAATTTCAACCATCTGTTAGAAATGTATTAATCCCCAAGAATGTAATCTTTGTCTTCCATTTCTCTACAAAATAGTCAGCGTAATATATTACATAGTTTTTATTTACTATTTGATCAGCTAGATTATCTTTATAAATTTCTCGATTATAGAGGATGCAAGCCTCTTGCCATCTTTTATATTAAAGTGCTTACAAAAACTGCCCTTTACAATATTTCTTACTATTATCTCGTTAAGTAAAATTTTTAATTTTTTAATCAGCAGTTCTCTTGAAGCTTTTATAAATTGTGTACTAATTGTCATTTCTTCAAGTTTTTCAATGACGAAAGCACGAACGAAATTATCGGTTATTCCTTCATTTTTAATGACCTCATGTTTTTTTTATCAAGTGCTGTAAAATCGTTTTTGAAATATTGTATCATGGCTAGTGGGTCTTCAGTTTAGAGAATGAACAATGAACTGTGCATATGCGTGGAACATTTGTTTTAAAATATCGGGAATGAAGCAAATATCGAAGTCTGGTTATCATTATGAAATCGTACTGGATGAATTATTAAAGTGATATAGAGATGATTAGAGTGGGTTGCAGCCTAAGAAGTTAAATAGGTCTAACCTTAACCTTAATTAACTAGATCTAATTTTATGATCTTTACTTTAATGCATTGGACTAACCTACAACAGACGGGGCTCATCGATGATATAAGGAACAATTGATCCATATGTTGTCTCCCAATTGTTCATATGCCATATTCTGCCTTTTTTAAGGACTGTAAAGTTTGGATTGATAAATTTTCAATCAGTGAGGACAGCACTGACTTTCTTGACGTCATTTAGCTGAGAAAGAAACGTAAACATTAGTAGTTATGTCTGGACCATCTGGTTCCGGTGAAGATGCAGCGGATCACAACGTTGAAGTGTGGAAAATCAAACGTTTGATCAAAAGTTTGGAAATGGCTCGAGGGTTAGTGGTCGATTTATTTTTTGATCATAGAGTAATTAGTTTAAATAGAAAAGCTAAACCAGAAGGGGTTCAAAATAAAGTAATGGAAATATCCAGGAATGGGACATCGATGATTTCTCTGATAATACCACCACGCGATCAAATTGCTCGTATTTCAAAAATGTTAGCCGATGAATATGGCACTGCGTCAAATATCAAATCTCGGGTGAATCGGTTATCAGTACTGGGTGCCATTACATCGGTACAAGGAAGACTAAAACTTTATAACAAAGGTTGGTTCATTTCTTGAAATATAAATAGCCATTGTAGTGAAATATGCATATGTAGATGTCAAACGGAGGATTGAGTTATGATATGAGCATTAAAAATTAAACCTGATTGCAATTCAGTGATTGTTGTTTTCAGTACCAACAAATGGTCTAGTGATTTACTGTGGCACAATTGTAACGGATGAAGGGAAGGAAAAGAAAGTGAATATTGACTTCGAACCGTTCAAACCAATAAATACTTCACTTTATCTCTGTGATAACAAGTTCCATACAGAGGCATTACAGGGTGTCTATAAATGTTATTTGATCAATTTAATGGAGCATAATCATTAGGGTGTTCTAACGTGCAAGTACAGTTAAACGTGTCATCACGTACATTCAGTGCGTAAACAAATGTCATAAGATTGTGTCCGAATATTGTCACTTCTGTTTTTGTCCTTGACAAATATTCTTCCTGTCTTGCAGCCCTCTTGGCTGATGACAATAAGTTTGGTTTTATTATAATGGATGGTAATGGGTCATTGTTTGGAACACTGCAAGGTAATACACGTGAGGTGCTGCACAAATTCACAGTTGATTTGCCGAAAAAGCATGGTGATTTTTGCTTCCGTCCCCACTTTTTATATGTTTCTGTGTGATTTTATTTTACAGGAAATAATTACTAATTTGTATTTTATTAATTACAAGGCTTTATCAGAGATAATCGTATATATATGGTAATTTATCATACCGAATTTCTGCACCTTCGCAGGTCGTGGTGGACAATCTGCATTGCGTTTCGCACGACTTCGTATGGAGAAACGTCACAATTATGTGAGGAAGGTTGCGGAAACGGCTGTTGAAATATTTATTCGAAATGATAAAGTGAATGTGGCAGGACTAATCCTTGCTGGTAGCGCAGATTTCAAAACTGAACTTGGCCAATCCGATATGTTTGATCAGGTGAGGAATGATTCCTGCTATTAATCAAGCATATTCTTGTTTACAATTGATCCTAATTTTATGTTGTTTACAGCGGCTCCAAGCAAAAATCATCAAAACGGTAGATATTTCATACGGTGGCGAGAATGGATTTAATCAAGCAATTGAATTAGCAGAAGATGCACTGGCTAATGTGAAATTCATCCAAGAGAAAAAGTTAATTAATGGATATTTTGATGAGATTTCGCAGGTACTTCAAATTCATTGACTGTTGCTTTTTAAATTATTGTCACTCTTATCTATATCAACATTACATGCAGATTCCTTAAAAGTATTGGCTAATACAATTCATTTGCATGATAAGTTGTCGAGTTAGGGAATAACCTTCGAATTCTTTTTAAATGAACTTTTATTTTCTCTCCCTCGTTTTCGCAAGAGTATTTCCGTATAACAGAAGTGGTTTTTGTCATTGTTTTTGGAAGTTAGTAATTGTGCTGTGTGTCGAACTTTGCACATCTCAAAGTCAAACTTCCGAAATTAAGGTGCATGTCGTCTGCAGGTTTAACATCAGTTACAGTTGATGCCTGTTCGTCACTGCACTACAGTTAGTCCGTTCTATTTCATGTGAAATAAGTAAATATGTTCATCTTTTAAAGGATTCGGGAAAATATGTTTATGGTGTAACAGATACGCTGCAAGCATTGGAGATGGGTGCTGTAGAAACACTGATCTGTTGGGAAAATTTGGATATTGTACGATATCAACTTAAAAATCCGGCTACTGGAGGTATTCGGTTTTGTTTGTTCAGATATATAATTTTCATTGGATTAATTTTTCTCCTACTAATTTTTGCATTTTTTAGAGGAAAAATTACTGTACTTGGATCCGGATCAGGAAAAGAATAAGACGCATTTCACTGAATCATCCGTATGTCACTTTTTTTTTTTTTAGAAACATTAAAAAAATCAATAGTTGTCAACTTTGTATAATCTGTTGATGCAGAAAGGAATGCGGTTAATATTTGTCATAGTGGTGAAAGAGACGTAATGGATTACCGTTCCGTTCGTTATTTTTCTCTAAATTAACTCAAATAAAACTTCGCAAAATATCAAACCTGGAAAGGTAAAAAAGGAAGAGTATTGTTAAAACATAATTTCTTCAGTTCTCACGGTGGTGTCAGAGAAAATCGATATGTTTTTTTCAGACTGGAGTGGAATTAGAACTTATGGATTCGATGCCATTATTAGAATGGCTAGCGAACAATTATAAATCATATGGTGCAGCTTTGGAAATTGTTACAGACCGCTCGCAAGAAGGAGCACAGTTTGTGCGAGGCTTTGGTGGTATTGGAGGTATTTGGTTTGTTATACTGTTTGATCTTGCGAGTTTTTGAAGATTGCATTTTGTCTAACATAATTTGTATTTATTTACAGGTCTTTTGCGTTATCGTGTAGACTTTCAACTGAATGATCTCAACGACGGTATCGAGGATATCAATCTTGATGATTATTGACTATATTCGGTGGCTAGTCGCGATTACTCTTTCATTTTCTGGGATTTTTCGTGTATGTTTTGTATGTTTTTAGAAATGTGGTTTATTTTCCCGTTTCAGGGTTTGATGATTCTACGTTATCGATAGAATTAATTGGGCGGTTCCATCCTAAATCTTTGGATTAAGAAAGTTTATGTTGTTCTTTTAGGTTGGATTATCGTTATTACATGTTCGATCTATACTTCTTTGTCGTATTTAGTAGTAGAAATCATTTCTTTATATCACCCTGGAAAAATCTGTCAGTTTCTTCATTCATCCGAATCACAAATTACTTACAATTTAATCGCGACAGCCACCGACTCTTCATGCCGTCTGGCAAGGTACATTACTTGTCGAATTCTACTTTTATGGCCATATTTATCACTTTGATATTATAAAAATTCACATGTTTGCTGTTTTGTTTCGTGTAAAATCTTTGACCTTTCTGGACTACTCTGCTATTTATGTAATGGTTATTCCTCGAAATTAAAGTTCTGATCTTTTCGGTTTATTATTTTCTCTTCGTTTGGATCTTTTCTTAAAATACTGATTTTGAGTTGCTGCGGTCGAAGAAAAGGTACTCAAGCAGGAGAATACTGCAGTAACCCATTCTTTGCATACACACGGAAAATTGTACCATCTATGAAATTGGTTGCAAACAGAATTTTATTTGATGGATGCGTTTTGTTACCAACTTGGCTTGACCAGAAAAACTGGATTATCGGGTATGTTTCTTCTTTTTTTTTGAAAATTTTTGGCAAATAGAATAACCTACTGGTATGATTTTGAGAGGATGTTATGTTTTATTAGCAATATAAATTGTTTGGGCTTGATCCTGTGGATACCAATCCATGCGAACTGTAGATTTTAGCATTATTCAGAAAAAAAATGACGGAAATTGTTGGTTTCTAATAAAATATTTATCACACTGTGTTGACAATAACCGTCATTATCCGTTTTCACGAGAAGCTTTGCTATTATTGCTTGCTTTGGAGTTGAGTAAGCGTTAATTGAATGCTCCTTTGTATATAGCTTAGGGAAGTGCAAGAAAGTGTTAGGCCTAATATCGGTCGTGAAATTTAGCTTTATGATTTGTCATTTCTTGGACTCTTTTTCTGTACTTCGAATTTTCAGAATATGTCGCAGCGAATGAGAGGATCGATGAAAGTATGTTGAGAATGTGTTACGTGCCCAGTGAAGAATTCGACGAGTTTTCTACTTTACCCTTTGTTGCTTCATAATAGTATTAATAGGAGCAGCAGAAAGGCTATATACAGCATTTGTTCACCGAATACTTGTATCACCTTTTTATCTCGAAAATTTTCTGGATATACTTTTGCAATATTTCTTCGGCACAAATTAATTTTTGGGAAAGTTTATTCCATGGAAGAAAGAAATGATTGTAGCAAGGAGCAACTTAGAAACAATAAATAGTATCATGAAAAGTTGAATTTGAAGGATTTCTGGTCGTGTTGGTTGAC